AAAAAAAAAAAAGGAAAAGAAAGAAAAAGAGATAAAAGAGAGATGGATAAAAGACAGCAAAGAAAGAAAAGCCTATGCGATGCCTTAGGGTTTTCAAAGCGTATGCCTGTGCAAGAGGTACTGTGTTTCTCATCTGTGCTTCTGGTACTGTGGAAGGTAGACTTCTTTAAACTGGCAGCCACAAATTTCTGGCGCTGCTGTCTTCTCAGGCCTCTCTGAGTTGTCCGCAAGGCCTTTAAAACTTTTGTGTTGAATTTCAATGCCATGGTCTTTAATTTTATCAGCACACACTGGGTCATCTGAACACCCGCCTCTTTGGCACAGCCTGCTCACGATCTTCGTGCCTGCATTTGGGTTTATGTTTGCAATCCTGTCTGTGCTAAGTGAAGGTCAAGGGATACCCCTGTGTGCTGTCTGAGTGAAGGCTGCACAGTGGTCGACACAGGGAAAGGAGGTGGCTGAGTCACGCTGTAGCAGGCACGTGGGGGCAAGAGTCTGCCAGACACAGGGCAAGCTGTGCTGTGTCAGCCCGTCCCACATGCAGGCTGTCGGCAGACACTCGGCCTGGATCCTGTAGCACTGAATTAGAGTCTGATCATTCTAAACTTACAAAACCAAAAGGTGAGTTGATAACATGCTATACAATTTGCTCAGGAGTGCAGGCCTTCTCCACTTAAAGTCAAAATGCAGAAAGAGCTTAAACACAGAACTAACCTGAGGTTACAGTGCTCTACAAACCAAAATCCAATACAAGAGATCTAATTTAACAGAACAATGGCATGAATCACATTAAATCGATGTTGCTAAGTGTGACTTTTACTAGTTTTACAGTTACATTTATTTATTTATTTATTTATTTATTTATTTATTTATTTATTGAGACGGAATCTCGCTCTTCTGCCCAGGCTGGAGTGCAGTGGCGTGATCTCGGCTCACTGCAAGCTCTGCTTCCCGGGTTCAAGTGATTCTCCTGCCTCAGCCTCCCGAGTAGCTGGGACCACAGGCACCCGCCACCACACCCGGCTAATTTTTTGTATTTTTAGTAGAGATGGGGTTTCACCATGTTAGCCAGGATGGTCTCGATCTCCTGACCTCACGATCCGCCCGCCTCAGCCTCCCAAAGTGCTGGGATTACAGGCGTGAGCCACCATGCCTGGCCCTACAGTTACTTTTGTTTTTAATTTTGTAATAATATCTTCATTTCTTATGCTGTCATCAGAAGAATTTTGCATCTACTTTTATGTGACATATTAAAGTCACTGAAAGAGTCCACCTTACGTTCCTCATGGCTTCCCCTCCTGTAAGTGATCCCCAGGGCCATCCTAGACCTTGTCTTCTTTGTCATACTCTCTACTCTCTATGATGCTTTCATTCACACCATGGCTTTAATGCTCTGGATAATTAAGCAGGTACTGCAGCTTATACTTGTCATCTGAGCTCCAGGACCACATCAGCACAAATCCGTCACCTCTTCCTGGATAACCTATGGCACCTCAGACACACCTGGAACTGTTAATGTTTTCTTTGGAAATGCTTTGCTAAATTCCAGATGTCTGTGAATGACACGACCATGTATGGTCCCTCGAATCAGTAGTTCATCTTCCTTCCCTACACCACCAGATGGGTGATGAGTCTGCCTCCCAGCTCCAGGCCTTCATCCAACCTGACAGCTGCTCTCACCTAGATCTCACAGCTCACTCTGACTGACCTCTCTACCTCCAGTCTTTACTACTCGAATCCATCTGACATATTGCTGTCAGAGTGATTTTTCTCTTTGGTACAAATCTGAGCATGTCACTCCTGGGCTTCCATCAGAGTTTCCTGAGGGTGAGGCTGTGCTCTGCCTCTGCCTCTCAGAGAATGCTTCAGTGAGGCCAGGGTCACAGAAGCAAGACTGAACTAGAGACAATCTGGTACACAGTGCACAGCAGGTAGAGCCCACATCTGGCCAGCTGCAATGCTCCCACCCACCCATGCCCCACACTCTTGAAGCATACACCCATCCAAGGAAGGCACGGGACTGTGCAGTGGGCTGAGCCAAGTGGAAGAGCTGTCCTTAGATGTCCTAGTGCTTCCTGCCCAAAATGGTTGAATAAAGCCCTGGGCAGCTGATGGCATGGACTCATTCCTCAGATAGCTAACTGTTCTCCCATCGTATGTCTTCTTTCTTTTGACTTTACTTTTCCCTAGCACAGCATCTTTCTTCTTTATTTATTTTTATTTTTTTATTTTTTTGAGACAGAGTCTTGCTCTGTTGCCCGGACTGGAGTGCAGTGGCGTGATCTCGGCTCACTGCAAGCTCCATTTTCTGGGTTCATGCCATTCTCCTGCCTCAGCCTCCCAAGCAGCTGGGACCACAGGCACTTGCCACCACGTCTGGCTAATTTTTTTGTATTTTTAGTAGAGATGGGGTTTAACTGTGTTACCCAGGATGGTCTCGATCTCCTGACCTCATGATCCGCCTGCCGTGGCCTCCCAAAGTGCTGGGATTACAGGTGTGAGCCACTGCGCCCGGCCAGCACGGCATCTTTCTATGCAAGTTACTGAGCCTACTGTTTTATAATATCATAGCAATTATTATAAATAGTCTACATTAAAATAAGCATCCACTTTTCCTGTATTGTAGGCATTGATTTTGTCTGGCTACCCTGCCAACGTGTGGGCTCTGTGAGTGCACAGTTCCAGTGCCTGGCACAGAGCAGACACTCAGAACATCTAATGAACGAATGGACTCCTAAAATGCCCTCTAGCATTTCTCTGTTCGCATTTAACCATCTGTGCAGGAATTTCAAACCCTCTGTCTCTCTCACCCACTTGAAACTGAATCCCTGAAGGGTATGGATGCTGCATGAAGCATTTTCTTCTGAAGGCCTAGCATACAGTAAATGCTGAACAAAGCACAGAAAAAGAAGCAAAGAGGTAAGCAACAGGCAGAGCAACCAATCCAGACAGAGACTAGAGGACAAAGAAAAAACCAGGGAAAACAGTAAGGGTGCTCAGATGCTTCAAGAGACGAGGGCTGGGGCACCAGGCTGGAAAGGGAAGGTGGTGAGGGCAGGATAGGACAACCTAGAGTCCCTTACACACAGCTGATAACCAGCAGCAGCTTGGACACGCTCTGCAGGTGGAAACCATTGGGGGTGTCCTCGGGGATATGCCGCGTCTGCGTGGAACCTGTGGGGAGAATTAAAGAGACCATCACCATGGTGACCCACAAGTCCAACAACTGCTGGCGGGGACACTGGTCAAACAGCAAACATCAAAGACTGATGGAAAAATGTCCACAACACTGCGACAGCAACGATATGCTAGACAATGCCAGCTCTCCAAGAGGAGAAGGCAAAATCTTCAAGGGCAAGGTCACAGGTTGGGTCAGGTAATCATTGAACAAATGAGAAAATCAACAGGCCCATGTAGCCAGGATATATAGGCCCAGGACAAAGTGATCTTCAGCTACGGGAGGGGACATGGCACTGGGCTAGGACTAAAGACAGCTGGCTTTTGGCTCTGGATCTATTCCTAGGAAGCTACATGATGGTGGACAAGTCATGTAAGCTCTCTGAGAGTCAGTTTACTCAAATGCAATGTCAGTCAAAATCTTAAAGGCAAAACATGTAACATGGAAGTGCTAGGGGCGAAGCTAGGGGGCATGCAGAAGACTGGCACTCTCCCCTCTTCTTCTGCCTCCCCTGTCCCTATCCAGCTCAATTAGTTGGTCTCTAAGGCCCCTTAGAGTCCCAAGTTTCCAGGATTCAGCAAAGACAAGGATGTGAATGGCTGGGTGGGAAGAGGAAGAAATATTAAGGGAGTCCATGGTCTGAGAGGGCAAGCCTGGATTGGCCCATGGGGGTGAAGTGAAGGGGGACTGTCTTGAACTCCCTGGTCTTTGTGTAATGAGGTAATCTCTGTGGTCTGAGCTGTGGGATCTCCTTAGTGTATTTCCCAAGAACTTGGAAGCTTCATACTTGAGCCTATGCAGGTAGCCATGGAACTAGGGCAACACGAAAGCATAAACACTAAGGCAGCTTTTGTTAATTAGAGCACACATATGGGTTCAGTTGGGGCTGAGGAACTTAAAGAGCAAAGAGAAACAGAGCATTGGGAGCCTCAGAATTAGTGACTTATGTTCAAATTATATACAAATTATATCCAAGGCGCAAAATGAGTGTGCATGTGTGTGCCTTGGTGCGGGCATGCAGCTCCAGCCCAAAGCTCAGTTCAGCCCACCTGTCCCCACCTGGCACACACCTGCCACATGTTTGATCCTGTGGCCCACATCCTCATCTGTGGGCGTGGTGACCGGGCTCATCACCTCTTCCAGGTGAGGGACTCGCAGGTGGGCATGGGGACGCTTCCTCCTCCGCACCGTCGTAGTCTTGCTGGCCTTCTCTTTGGGAGATTGTCTGTGCATCTCAGCCAAATAGGTGCTCTCCGTTTTGGCCAGCTCGCTCTCTATCAGAGAAGAAAAGGCCACAGGAGACGCTACTTTCAGCCCTCCAGATGCAACTCTCTGCAGAACCATTTTCCTACTCTGTATTCTGGGAAGTTGGGTGGGTGGGTTGATGACCCTCAGAGATGCCCCTGAGCCTCAGGAGGTACTTCTGGGACCCAGCCCCAGTCAACCCCTTCCTCTGGGGTTGTTCAGCACTGCAAGGAACCATATGCTCCCAACATCTGCACCCTCATGTATACAATTTGGGGCATACACTTCTTAAATAGATGCATTCACAGGCATTTTACAAATACTTCTTGTCACAGAGTCACTAGGTCTGTGGTTCCTTTTGGGGTGAAGGGTGTTATAGATCCCTCAAAGATCTCCTAAACATCCTAGACACAGTCTTGGAAAATGCACGTGTCCACACACATGCCAAATTTGGTGTCCACATCGGGAGCAGGCGTGGGTACCTCAGGAAACTACTTCACCTTTCAGTCTCTGCCTCTATTCTCAACACCATTCCCCTGAATGGTGGGCAGCAGGAGTGCAGTTTATCATCTCTGCAGCCCAGCTAGCAGCAAGGATTGCAGCGCTCACCTAAATGGCGGAAGTAGTCCTCCAGCCCACTCCAGAAGTTCTTCTCGATGAAGGTTTTCACTAACCCCCAGGGCTGTTTTCGATAGCGCAGCTCTGTGGAGACCCTGAGGAGTAAGCCAGACAAGATCAGTCATTCCCTGGGTGGACCTGCCTCTGCGGGGAAAAGGGAAATTCGGGATTAAGGCCAAAGCCGCTTCACATTTGTACTAAACTTTGTAAGTTAAAAGGTCTTTCCACATCCATCACATCATCTGATCTCCAGGACCACCCTCTGAGCTCAGTGGAGCTGGTGGATTTATCCCCATTTTATAGATGAGAAAACTGAGGCATAGGATACTTAAGCAGAGCAAAGGCTAACAACTAGGGTTCTGACTCCAGAGTTCTCTTATGATGGCACACTGCCTCCTCTCAGGGGTCTCACATAGGGCCCAGCAGCCTGCCTGCCAGGCAAGGGGAGGCTCTGCCTGAGGTTCAAGTCGTTTGAGAAACTGATACTGAAAGAAAGTAAGATGGCCCATCCTTTCATCAGGGTCCTTCTCTCCTTCTCTAGAGACTTTTAAGTCTAAGTCAAGTTCTGGGGTTTTATGACTTTAACCTTTAAAAGCATCAGTCACCCTGGGCAACATAGTGAGACCCCATCTCTACAAAAATAAAAATAAAAATAATTAGCCAGGGGCATGTCTGTAGTCCCAGCTAATGGGAAGTTGAGGCTGAGGCTGCAGTGAGCCATGATCACACCACTGCACTCCAACCTGGGGAAGAGAGTGAGATCCTGTCTCCGAAAAAAAAAAAGAAAAAAAGAGTATCACCTACTGCTGGCCGTGCCTCCTGCCTCTCCACTGCACCCCAGACTTCGCCGGCTCTTGCTCTTTTCCAAGTATTCCCGCTCCCAGTCGCTGGTCGCACTTCTGCCCATACCCCCTGCAGTATCAGCTCTTTTCTCTCCTATGCAGCAGCCCTGCTCTTTGACTCCCCCTTAGGTTCATCTGCATCTGCCAATAGATTCTCCCAGCTAATCCATCCCACCCCATCCCACCCTGTGACTAAGGCTGCCAGCCCACCCTCATCCCCCTCCTCAGGGATGCCACCTCCACCCACGTCCCAATGGGACAATGCCTGTACTTGGAGACACCTCACTCCCCAACTCAACAACCGTTGACTGCATTGTGGATGGGCACCTTCCTATAATGGTCTGTTCAAGGTCAACCAGCTACCTCTGCAAGGCTGCAGAGAAAAGACGCAATTGAAAGATCTTCTGAGGAACCCGGAATTAAGAAACCCAGGCACTGTGGAGGAAAGGATAAGAATAGGAGGGAGAGAGAAGGAAGGAAAATAAAAGAAGGCCGGGCGCGGTGGCTCACGCCTGTAATCCCAGCACTTTGGGAGGCCGAGACGGGCGGATCACAAGGTCAGGAGATCGAGACCATCCTGGCTAACAC